ACACACACACACACACACACACACACACACACACACACCATCTGGCAAACATGAGGACGAGGCCATCAGACCTTCCCCATTTTGGGGGAGACACCCCTCAGCCTGTCCCTGGAACAGGAGCCACATCAGCTTGAATACCAACCACTGTTTCAAAGCCCTGCGGCCGGCTGCCTGCTCTGGACACATCCTGTCCCCTTGATTGGGCGGCCCCAAGACGGGGAGGCTTGCCCTGAAGGCCAGGTATCCACACATGCCAAGGACACGCTCGCCACAGAGCAGAGCCGTGTGACGGCCTGTGGCTGTCCAACTGTGCCCCAGCTTGAGATCCCAGCACCCGGGGATGGGACAGGTGGGCTTGCTGGGGAGGTCCTCTGATTTGAGCCTGTGTGTCTCCTTCCAGGGACATGGGTGACCTTCGGAGGCCAGATCACCGACGAGGTAAGACGGGGCTCCCTCATCCCCCCAGACCCCGGGGAGGGCAGCCCCCACCAGGCAGGGGGTGAAGGCCACTAAAGGCACCAGTGGGTCTGTGCCCCACATCCGCCTCAGCTTCCTTCGTCCTGGCCTTGTGGGAGCTGCAGCAGCCGGGTGCCTTGGGGCTTCAGCAAGTCCCCTAAAGTCCCAGCACCTCCGGTTCCTCCTCTGCAGTGCTCCAGGAACCTTCAGGGAGGGCAGGTTTTCCAAATAATAAAGCCCCGTGCAGTTGTAAGCTGCTGCTACAGAGCATGCCCACACGAATTTGGAACTTCAGTAATTATCTTCTAAGGCCACAGACTTTGCTACCAGCTGATGACTGAGCAGATTTACGTCTCCCCAGGCTCCTGCTGCACAGTTCCCAGGGCTGTCGTTAGTCACGTGCACTAGCGTCACACGCACTTGTTGGGGCAGCGCGCTTCCCAACTGGGACGCGCGCAGCACTGCCGGCATGTCTGGGTCTGTCCTGGAGAGCCGGGCATGTTCCCAGGCTGCTGTGCGCTCCCAGGCAGTGAGCGGGTATCTGGGAAACAGGCACAGTGGCATTCGCTCAGAGACCTGGACGTCTGCACGAGAAGCCGTGTTCACATTTGTCCTACTTACTGTTGCGTTTAAAAATTAATATGTGAGTTCATTTGAGACCCTGTTAAGCTGTGGTTGCTCGTGGTTGCTCGGTTAGTTTTCAAAGGAAAAGCTTTGCTTCGGTCACAGTCTAAATGCGTTTAATTTGTGTTTCTGTTCCTTTTTCTTGTTACGGCAGCATGGGTTTGAGAACTCTTGGGCCTTACTTACTTTGAGGGTCTGAGGCTGGGCTGTCTCAGGGTGAAGGCAGCAGTTTTTAAGGTGCAGGGGACCAGCTATTGGTTTCGAGCAGTTAGACTAACAGCGGGAGCCCCAAAGCCTATGTGGGCCACCCGGACAGTTGGAGTCTGACTCGCCTGTTTCCCTCTCCATGTGGTCACCATACACAGAAGAATTCTGTGAGGGGGTGACTTCATTTCCACACGGCGCTGGCTGCTCTGTGTGCTGCGTGCTTGTGGGAAAGATGGAAAGAAGTGGCGGGTGGTGACCATCCAATTAGGTGACTTTTTCACCAACAGATCACCGTACCCAGAGGGTATTGATTAATGATCCTATGGCAGCCCTGGCTGGCTCTGCCATGTCCCCATCAGGGACATAGTGACATGTATGAAGATATTGGAAGTCGTTTCCAAATGACGCAAAGCTGGGAAGACAGCAGATACAATAGATGACAGATTCAGGATTCTAAGATGCCCTGGCAGGCGAAAATGATTGAGCGAAGGAGCCAGCCAAGTTTTCGTGTTGAATCTTACAGCTAGTGTCCCAGACAATCAGTATGTCAAGCATGGGGCCCACCTCGCCACGTGCAGATGAAGAATGCCTGGGTTTAGTCTTCAGCTGGCCGCCTGCTGGGCCTGAGCCACAAGGAAACAAGGACCATCCCGGGCTGCAGAGGAACATGTGTGCTGCCCACACCCGGGGAGGCCCACGGCCCCACCGAGCATTCCACATGGGTGGCCCCGTCTGGAACCCCGTATTCCTTGCTAAGCTCATGTCCAAAGGAAGGCAGCAGGTCCAGGAATCCAGACTCAGAGTCCTGTTTTTACAGTTACCTCTTGTGTGCCAGACACTGTGCCCAGGTGCCAGGGAGATACAGATCAGAAACTGCTGGATTTACTGTGGTAAATGGGCGTTCCACGGTAGGTCTCTGCAAAGGTCAGCGAGAGACGGCGGCGGGCCAAATGTGGTCCCCCTGTCTATTTTTTTTTTCCTTTTAGCTTTCTCTTTTTTATTAAATATATGAAACATAAGATTTGCCATTTGAACCATTTTTATTGTGGTTAAAATACGCATAACATAAAATTTACCATGTGAACCGTTTCTAAGTGTACAGTTCAATGGCATTAAGGACATTCATTGGCTATGCGACCATCACCACCGTCCATTTCCAGAACTTTTCATCACCCTGAACCCATTAAGCAACAGCCCCTGGTTAACCTCTAATGTACTCTCTGTCTCTCTGAATTCTTCAGCCCGTTTTTGTAAATAAAGTTTTATTGGCAGGCGGCCACACCCACTCACTTTCATATTGTCTGTGGCTGCGTTCACGACACAAAGCAGAGTTGAGTACCTGCCCCAGAGACCGTCTGGCCCACAAAGCCTAGGATATTTACAGGAAAGGCTTGCTGCTCCCTGTCCTATGGGGTTGCAGCAGCTGTCGTCTGTGGGGCTGTCCTCCCAGGCAGGGAGGCCCCAGTGGGCCAGGTGGAGAGGAACCAGCCACAGAGGAAGCAGACGGTGTTAGTAAAGCTCAGATCACGTGGCCAGGTCTAGGAGCTGCCCTGGTCAGAGTCAGGTTCCAACCTCAGGTTCAGTGCCTTTCTGTGGCCTCACAGGGCTGCTCAGGTGGAAACTCCGCCCTCCCCACCAGGCCCAGTGAACAGGAGGAGGAGGCCTCCCTGGGGTGACAGAGCGAAGAGAGAAGTGGCCAGGGGCAGTGAGGAGGCGGGCGGAGCCGTAGGTCTAGGAGCTACCAGCTGACCAGCTGGAGGACGGTGTCCACTCAACTCCTGCCTGCTGAGCACCTATCGAGCTATCCCTGAGGGTTAAACGTGCCATGGAGGGTGCATTCGTGTCCTGTGGGTGCTGTAACAAGGTACCACTAACTGTGGGGTTTAGAACAACAGAGATTCGTTCTCTCACAGCCTGGAGCCCAGAAGTCCAAAACCAGCATCGCTGGGCTGAGGCGAAGGTGAGGCCCTAGGGAACAACGCCTCCTCGTCCCTTCTGGCTGTGCTCACATGGCCACATCACTCCAGCCTCTGTGTCAAACCTCCCTCCATCTCTAATAAGGACACCTGTGATGATGGCATTTGGGCCCCACTTAGGTGATCCAGGATAATCTCCCCATCGTGAGACCCTTGATTTAATCGGATCTGCAAAGACCCTTTTTCTACCTAAGGTGACATTCGCTAGTTCCAGGGTCCTGATATCTTTGGGGAGCCATTATTTAGTCAAACAGAGAAGGGAGGACTGGGGTACAGGCCCCTGGTTGACACAAGACTACCGAGGAAGGTGGAAGTGAGAGAGTGAGCCGCTTGGTGATCCAGAGACCACGCACCCTGCCCCAGTGGGGACTGTGCCCGGCCTGCCTGAGGCCACAGGAGGTGGGGTGGAGGAGGGGGGTCAGGAGACGGGGTCAGAGGTGAGGGAGCAATTCTGCTGGGGACCTTGGCTTTGCCCATCCATGGCATGGAAGCCGCTGGAGGATTTTAGCAAAGAAATTTTTCCATAAAAGGCTCACTCTGGCTGCTACATGGGAGGAAGCCAGTCAGGGGGGCTGCTTTTCAAACTGTACCATGTGCAGGACCCCCCGGCGGTTTGCAGCCTGCCGTGGCAGGTCTGGGCAGAGCCTGGGACTCTGCATTTCTGATGCTGCCGCTGCTGGTCCCTGGACCACGCCTGGCCTGGGGGCGGCGGCAGGCGGCAGGGGGGACAGGGACAGAAGCAGAGTGTTGTAGGTCTACAGCAAAAACCCGGCTGAAGGATGCTCTGGCTTGGACCAGGTGTGCAGAGTGGACTTGGCAGGAGTGGTCAGACTCGGGGTCAGTTTGCAGGGGCAAGTGGACAGGATGGGCTGAAGGTTTCCATGCTGGAGTGAGAGAGAGAGGAGTGAGGAGGACCCCTAGGTGTGTGACCCGAGCACAGGGTGGGCAAGACCGCAGGAACAGCAGGCATACACCGGTCCCTCTGCCTGCGACACCCCCGCCTCCACCCACTCCTCCCATGCCTGCCTGACAAACTCCTAACCAATTGTATTCAATTGGGGGAGATGAAAAACCTCTGGAGATGAATGATGGGGCTGGTTGCATAACAGTGTGTGTGAATCTACTTAATACCACAGAACTGCACATGTAAAAATGGTTGAAGTGATCATTTTTATTATATTTTACCACTGTTTTTATTTTAATTTTTTTAATATTTAAAAAAAAAAGAATGCAGGAGGTCTCCATGGCCTGATATGGATTGATTTCCAGGACGTATTGTAAGTGACAAAAGCAAATGGCAGAATACCTGTAGCGTGCTACCCTCATGTAAGAAAATATGCGTGTCTGAAATACAACAAGAAAAGCCTTGGCCCTGAGTCACCTTGCTCAGACCCTCCCCAGAAGACAGCGTGCACCCTGAACCATCTGTACGGCCCCATCGGGACCCAGCACACGGTGCTGTCCTGGGTAGGGCTTGGTGGCCTGGTGGGACGCATCGGGGAAAGTT